TGTTATGTTATACCAGCCATCACATCTCTCAAACTAGTAAAAAAATTAATAGCCCCCTGTTTTAGTAAAAAGAATAAAATATCTATCGACGATTGTCGGGCGTAGCTTAGATAACAAAGAATGGGTGCAAAAGGGTACTATCCAAGTTTGACTCCTGACAAGGGTGACGTACCAAGGGTACGCATCATGAAGCCCTTAGACGTACCAAGGTCAGATTTCACTCTTTACTTGTCAGACTAAAATTATAGCTCAATTTACCTTCCCTAAGTAACTTGCCGGTTTTAGAGAAATTTATGAATTAAAATTTAAAATCAATTAAGCCTCACACGTAACTACCCTCATACGTAACTACGTGAATGTTACAAAAATACACATCGAGTTCAAACTAATAAGTAAGAAGGGGCATTCTCCTTCTTACCTCAACTTGGCGTTGTAGGAACTGGACATGATTAATGATTTCATCCAACACCATTGCCGTACCCGAAATCTGAAAACGAAATTAAAAATAATATGATATTATTATAAACCACCAATGGGAAGAGAGAGGGAGGTTTAGGAATGATTGTAGAAAAATAATAAGTAGAAAGTGGTCATGACAAACATAGTATTGCATTATTGCTGATGGAATAAAAATGGACTTTACCACTCTAACTCTGCATTAACTGTGAGAAACTTATAACTGCTCCAGTATAAAATGGGTAGCTCACAATGATTAAACTATTAAAGTCTACCTATAACATTGAGCAGTGTAACATTTCACATTCTTGCAAAACAAATATGAACTAAAATCCAAAGATTTCTTTTACACCATAATAGTTAGACTGGAAATATAATGAAGAAGGTAGACTTCTAAGGTGTGGCTTAACAGTTCAACCGGATTCCATAACTCATATAGAATGGTTTGTATAGAGGTACATTGCATAATACTGGTTATAATAGAGGTACTCCATATACAAACCTCGCAGATAACTAATCATAGATAAGATATCATTTATAAAAAGGGCCCACGAAAATAAAACTTACAACCTAACCATGGTTAGTTAAAGTATAACATTCAAAGCAGCACATCATTATCCTCCCTGTCATCTTAAGGCACTTCTAGCTGGCAATATCCAGCTGCACAATGACTTATCAATTTCAAAAGTAACGGCTACCTCTATTGTTTAGATGGAAAACATAAGTGGAAAGACTTTAAGTTTACCACTCATGTCACCTAACCTTAGGTCAAGTAATCAGAACCATATATTTGATCTTGGTTGCTTACTATACTCCCTCCATCCTATAATTATTCATGTTGTCAAACTTATCAATCTTTATTTGCCCATTTCCTTTATTGATTTGATAAAATAATACGCTCATGTCACCTCTTATTTTGTAGAACTTTTGATGTAATATACTCAGTAACAATGATGTGAATATATAAACGACATATCCACGCTTTTGCATTAGTCCGGTACTCCCGTGTTATAATAGAGCACGAACCAAATGCCCCCTAAAGACAATAATCAAGGTCATGGAAAGTTAGGTAGCTGGTAGATCCTTCAAGAAAAACATCTAGCTAAATTATTAGGTAACTAATCTTGTCACTATGAAATTAGTTAAGGAAACACGGAGATAATGTGTATAGGTGTTTGTTTATACTTTATATACAGTGGTGGCCATTGAAAAAACATCTCACGAGCTGGAGACAATGTGAAGCAAAAAGTTGGAACAACAGTTAGAGTACTGATAGAGACATTTCATCCTCCAAGCTCCCCACTTTCTTAGGTGCAAAAGCCATTAACTTTTCTTTCTTTTCTCGTTACAGTGGGAGACAACCACCCACACGTACTAAGAATTATCTTAATGCACAAATTAGAGAGAAATTTCATCTCAAATCAAGTAATTAACGAATTAATCTACTTATAAAGGATGATGAAATGACAGCAAACCTTGTTGCATCCTGGGACCAGCTCCTGTAAAAGCTTCATTCTTGCATTAATCTTCTCCCTCCTTGCCTGCATTAGTAAAAATAGAATTCAATAACCACAATTAAACCACTGTTAGGAGCTAAATTATGATAGGATATGATCACTATAGAGGTATTACTCTCTCAGCTAAGCTATGGCTATCGGTGGCTTGGCCGCGGCGAGCTCGGACATGAACGTAGGGAAGCTTCTCGCCACCTTCCTCTGCCGTGGTACTCTTAGTTGCTTTCTTGCTCTTCTTCATGCAAGGCTCTTTAATCTAGGTTTCAAAACATCAGATTCAATACTTGCATTTTCTGCAAAACTGAGAAACCTAGAAAGCCGGATTTGGGGTTTAATTTTAGAATTACCTTTTTCTCCCTCTCCCGTTTAGTGGATTTCTGGTAAACAGTTGGATTGGAAACGTCCGGGGATGAAGATTTCGGGTTTGGATCAGCATATACTGGCTCTTGCTTTAAGAACTGAGTCATGGAGCACGAATTAGACGGCGAGTTCCCGGCGAATACAGATAATTTGGAGGCTCGGTCAATCAAAGCTGCGTCTGAAGGGAAAATAGGCGGCGGTAGAAAGCCGTGGCGATAATTTCTACGCGATTCAATTTCAGGAAGGTTCGCCGGAGGTGAGGCTTCTGTTTCCGACGAGTGAACCAAAAGTTCCACAGCCTGCTCCGCCGGGAGCTCGAGCAGTGCAGTGAACGAACTTCCAGCCTCCTCCGCCACCGCAAGCATTAAACCGGCGTGGAATCCGTCGTTGCCAAATTGTTGGAGCTCCGCTCGGAAATCTCCGGCTGCCGCTCCGTAAAAAACGGACCTAGCTTGACCCGATTCCATGGACTCAAGCAATTCAACTAGGAACCAAAACACCTCTGCCAAACTCAGCCCAACCCGGAAATTTTCTCAAATTCAAAAGAACACAAAGAACTACTTGGATATATCCCAAGGAGTAAAATGCAGCAATGGTATCTATATTTAATTGTAGGGAAAAAAATAGTACAGGGAGTGAATGAAGCTTCTAAATTGTGCACAGATGATTGCTAAAAGAAGCTTCAATGGCGGATGACCGAAGTAAGCTCAACGTTTCTCTGAAGGCTTTGAAAAGGCAAAGCCCCTTTTCCGGGTATATATACGCAGATTTATGCACAAAGCAGGCCTTTGCTTTGCGGGCCGTTATCTGCGCAGTGACAGAGAAGATGGGGAAGGGAAGGAAACGGGTGGGCACGTAGAGTGGGGACCGGGTACGGACCAAACCCGACACTGTTTCTATCGTAGTTGATGACTTGTCATTTTCTTGCTTTCAATTGTGCTTCTCTTGTTCTTCTTTTTACTTACCCAGAAAATTACTCGCAGGTGACGCGAGTTTTGTTGAAATAACTCTCAGGTCCCTCTATTTTTAAAAAGGCAGCAGAGGTCCTTACATTTTGGTATAATGACTGAGAGGGGACATTTAATGCAATACATCATTCGTAAGTGTTAATAAATGTATTTTTTTCCTATTTTTCCATTACCGTTTTTCCTATTTTGCCATCACCTTGTTATTTCTTTTTTTAGAATTTTTTTTATTTCATTTGTTTTAATATAATATAAACAACTTTGAATTTTTATACGATTTTATAGGAGAAATTTTAAAATAACACTTTAAAAAATAGTAACAAAATGAAAGAAAAACAAAGAAATAAAAAAAGGAGCGACCTAAGATTTATTACCTTAAAACATTTAGAAAAGAATAGGAAAAAATACATTTATTAACGTTTATAGATGAAATATTGGATGAAATGTCCCCTTCTAGTTATTACAACAAAATGTAAGGACCTCTGCTGCCTTTTTGAAAATAGAGGGACCTGAGAGTTATTTCAACAAAACTCGCGTCACCCATGAGCAATTTTCTGTTACTTACCCGTCCCATTTTTTGCTTCTCTCCCCTCTCCCACCGTGAAGGATGAACTATTGGATAGTTAAAGAATAAACTATGAAAGTAAATTATAA